CAACAACCCGGTTCAGAATCATCTGGAGTTTCGACACATTGATTTCCATTTCCTGTTGACCAGAGTGAATGAGTCAATCAAGCTATTGGGCACCACAGCAACCCATGAAATCCTCCCACTTCCTGCTGTCTTACCGGCCCTGCCAGCTTTGCGAAAAGCGCCTTGAAGCCCTCGTCCATGTCGCTCTCCTGGAGCACAGACTGCCATAGAAACAACACATTATTCAGCAGCAAAACTTCCCAGGATGCATCTGTGTACAGTACTGTTAAAAACATTTCACAAGAAAACTCACCTCCTCGGGTACATCTGCTGAAATTTCATCATCTAGCTCCCTATAGACAAAAACAAATTCATCTTATTTTCTCTCAGCAGTGGTTTAATGTGTACTATTTTATTAGCGATATATATATATATATTGAATATATATTAATGCTTTGCAACACGTATTTGTAGTACAAACATACAATGTATTTGAACATAAATTAGTGCTTCATTTTATATATTAACAGAGCGTTAATACATATTCAAATATATTTAAAGAAATTTAATTTGAACAAATAAAATTGTAATACATTTATATTTCTAACCATTTTGAATATTTATTAATGCTTCATTAAAATATATTAAATTCAAACAACTTTTCATTTTATACTGCTAATCATTTTTAGTATTTATTGATGCTCTGCAAAAATGTAATATTAATCAAATTCAATCAAAATTTCATTTATTCATATTTCTAACCATTTTGAATATTTATTAATGCTTCATTAAAATATATTAAATTCAAACAACTTTTCATTTTATACTGCTAATCATTTTTAGTATTTATTGATGCTCTGCAAAAATGTAATATTAATCAAATTCAATCAAAATTTCATTTATTCATATTTCTAACCATTTTGAATATTTATTAATGCTTCATTAAAATATATTAAATTCAAACAACTTTTCATTTTATACTGCTAATCATTTTTAGTATTTATTGATGCTCTGCAAAAATGTAATATTAATCAAATTCAATCAAAATTTCATTTATTCATATTTCTAACCATTTTGAATATTTATTAATGCTTCATTAAAATATATTAAATTCAAACAACTTTTCATTTTATACTGCTAATCATTTTTAGTATTTATTGATGCTCTGCAAAAATGTAATATTAATCAAATTCAATCAAAATTTCATTTATTCATATTTCTAACTTTAGGCTTACAATCAGAGTTTGGTGCTTCTACACCCTTGTTAATCAGCTATCATTTCACACTGATTTTAGGAATAAATTATGGGTAAGGATTGGGTTTAGCCAAAATTTTTGGACAGTAATATTGATCCAGGATCAATACAAATTCAAATTGTTAGTTCCTTTCTCCATTTCGGGGGATTTTTGTCTTGGTCTCAAGTACTTAAGGAAATCTTGCAAGAAGATCGGGGCGATTCTGTAGCCAGAAAGCTTGTGTGGTGTGTGTCTCTACACTCCATACTATGTATTTTCTAAGGTCAGGTATGCATCTTTTACTCTTAGATTAATCTTTGAGAATTTGATGTTTTGCATTGATATGATATCTTTGAATTGGCTATGTAATTGGCATAATACATTTTCCTGACTGATAATAAATTGCTACATTTGAATTTATTCTGAGATTATTGACTCTAATTAATTGTTAAGTCTTTAACACCGCAAATCTGCGCTCAGGTTAGTAGTGGACTAAAATTATGTTGTAGAGCTCCAGCTAACACTTACTGTATGTATACTTAGACTGTAGAGGCTATTGGGTTTTTCCGTTTAGAGCAAATAAATTCAGGTCAGCCTCAACCTCTGGTTATTGTAAAATTATTCTAACTAAGTGTACGTGAGAAATCACAGCATGATTATATAAAGTTACATTAGAGGAAGTTATAAGTTGGTCAACTTGGTTCTATAGTAATGGTCATGACCTCTGGTTAGATATAGTCTTACTTTAATTAAGTGTGTACGGATCTATGGGGACTTATAAAAAGTATTCTGGAATGAGCAAAGTATGGCACGAGCCGTCTAGAATATTAGTCACTCGCCTCTGTCTAATGACCAAGACTGACGAGTTTGTGAATATGAGATCCGTACACCGGCCGGTACGAGACTCAAGTGTCATAGGAATAAGATTAATGAGATTCAATACGATTAAAGAGCGAAATAGAATAATCAAATGTGAGAATAATAATAATAATAACTAGAAATGAACAAACAACCAATTGGCATTTCAACCTAAATTCGTGGTCATAAGAAAATGGACTCAGATTAGATAATAAAATGGAGTCAGATGATAATTTAACCTAAATTGAATAACTTTGCGTGCTGAAAAGACCGAACACGCAGGAAACCTTCATCCACAATTGGATACCTCCATTGGGCCAATTCGTGAACCTAACATAATTAACAGTGTTGAAAACTGTTCAAAAGAACAGCATTTATTACAATAGAAATGTTTTGTAACACAAATATCTTTACTGCCACTTTTGATCCATTTAATGCATCCTTGCTGAATAAAAGTATTAATTGTCGACTCCAAACTAACATTTAGAGATCTACAACATATATATACACCATAAAGCAAGCATAAAATGTTACCACTGACAAGATATCGTTTGATCTTCTCCCAGAGCACATGGAAGTCTGTCAGTCCCAGCTTTCCAGCGCCAGTTGTCTTCAAGGCAGGTCAAGGCATACTATTTACAGCATGACATATTAAAAAGGACCACAAACGCTAACATTCTTGAGTGTAGAGTCTTCAAAGGATACATCCATAAGATTGATCATGCCTCGACAGGCCTCTTTGTCAAATCCGTCTGTCTTTATATCTTTATCTGCAAGAAGAACAATCATAAGGGCATTTTGAACATCAGTTGGTGCCTTTCAGGGAATATTTCTTGTTAAATATGATTTTATTTGCAGCATATGCAGAATGTTGTCATTTACCACAGAACATAATTATGAAACTAATGAAATTTCCTTTACTTGTCCGTAAGCACACTCACGTTTGCCAACAACCCGGTTCAGAATCATCTGGAGTTTCGACACATTGATTTCCATTTCCTGTTGACCAGAGTGAATGAGTCAATCAAGCTATTGGGCACCACAGCAACCCATGAAATCCTCCCACTTCCTGCTGTCTTACCGGCCCTGCCAGCTTTGCAAAAAGCGCCTTGAAGCCCTCGTCCATGTCGCTCTCCTGGAGCACAGACTGCCATAGAAACAACACATTATTCAGCAGCAAAACTTCCCAGGATGCATCTGTGTACAGTACTGTTAAAAACATTTCACAAGAAAACTCACCTCCTCGGGTACATCTGCTGAAATTTCATCATCTAGCTCCCTATAGACAAAAACAAATTCATCTTATTTTCTCTCAGCAGTGGTTTAATGTGTACTATTTTATTAGCGATATATATATATATATTGAATATATATTAATGCTTTGCAACACGTATTTGTAGTACAAACATACAATGTATTTGAACATAAATTAGTGCTTCATTTTATATATTAACAGAGCGTTAATACATATTCAAATATATTTAAAGAAATTTAATTTGAACAAATAAAATTGTAATACATTTATATTTCTAACCATTTTGAATATTTATTAATGCTTCATTAAAATATATTAAATTCAAACAACTTTTCATTTTATACTGCTAATCATTTTTAGTATTTATTGATGCTCTGCAAAAATGTAATATTAATCAAATTCAATCAAAATTTCATTTATTCATATTTCTAACCATTTTGAATATTTATTAATGCTCCATTAAAAAATAATATATTAAACAAATTCAAATAATTCAAAACATTTTTCATTTATATTGCAAATCATTTTGAATATTTATTAATGCTCTGTAAAATATATTAAACAAATTTTTAAAAAATTCAATAGTTTTTTATCTCTAACCATTTTTAATATTAATGCTCTTTTAATAAATTGTATATTAAACAAATTCAAACAAATTTCCATTTATATTGCTAATCATTTTGATTATGTATTAATGCTCTGTAAAAATATTATACTAACCAAATTCAATCAAAATTTCATTCATATTTCTAACGATTTTGAATATTTATTAATGCTCTGTAAAAATATTATTTTAACTAAATTCAATCAAATCTTCAATTGTTCATATCTCTAAACATTTTGAATATTTATTAATGCTCTGTAGAAATATTATCATAAGCAAATTCGATAAAATGTTCATTTATTCATATTTCTAAACATTTTGAAAATTTATTAATGCTCCATAAAAACATTATCTTAACCCAATTCAATCAAAGTTTTAATTATTTTAATTAACTTATACATAGTTTATATAAATATTATATTAAACTTCAAAGTGCCATTTATTTATTCAATAATCATTTTAAATATATATTAATGTTACATTTGAATAAAACAAACATTTATTCTCAAATAGTCACTCACTGAGAGTCAGCAGCCTTTTCTGAGAAGACCCTCAGCACAAAGTCTCCTTCTTTCTGGGGCTCAAAGGTGGAGGGGACGATGATATATTCCCCCGCTGGCAGGCAGAAACGCGAGCTCACCTCTCGAAGGTTGATGAAGAGCTCAGAACGAGCGCTGGATGTGCGGGTGAGGAAAAAATCACGCTTCAGATGCACACCCACCCGGCCCAGATACTGACAGGAGAGGAAATTCAGATCACAACACACTGTACTCTATGTGTTCTCAGCTAAGTGACCATGTGCAGGATCTCTCAGTGGTAGGCTACCTTAAAGGGGTCATATGACGTTGCTAAAAAAAGAACATTATTTTGTGTATTTGGTGTAATGAAATGTTTATGCGTTTTAAGGTTAAAAAAACATTATTTTCCACATACTGTACATTATTGTTTCTCCTCTATGCCCCGCCTTTCTGAAACGCATCGATTTTTACAAAGCTCATCATTCTGAAAAGCGAGGTGTGCTCTGATTGGCCAGCTATCCAGTGCGTTGTGATTGGCCGAATACCTCAAGCGTGTGACTGAAAGATTACGCCCCTATTACCATACTGTGATGCCGTGTCCCGGCCGGAGCGATGAGACAAAAACATTAAAACCTATTATAAACGAGGCATTTGTTGCATCCAGTGGGGACATAATTACGGATTATAATGACTTATACTGCCTTTTTATGCATTGCGTTGCATCGCATCGCGCCAAGTAAACAAAACCATATCTGCATTTGTGATCGGAGAAATGACAAACAACAAGCGCTACTCTACACTGCACAAAACTCGCGTTTGAATCATCAGTGGCAAATCCTTTATATATGAAAGCGTACTTACAGGCTGTGAGTCAGCATTATTTGTCAGCATCATATACTGTATAGGGTCAGCATGCGCGCCGAAGGGCAAACAGGGGAACTGAACTCACCGGAACACCGGCATTGTAGGCTACTCTCCCAGGAAACAGTCCTTGTCCTCCGTAAAATGCGTTGCACACATCTGAATATTTGGTTTGAAATGTTCTGGAACAGTGTTGTAAATACAACTTAACCACTGATTTCTAGTTGTGTCTTCTTTTGGAAGACCAAACAAAGTAGTTTTGCTTTCACAACGAAACACACAAAGTCTCCACGACATGGTGGCAGCGGCAGCAACAATACTACAGTGAGAATCAAAGTTACACCTTCTTTCTTTGCATGAACATTTGGGCGGTGTTATGCAAATCTTCCCACATCGTGACGTAGACATGTGGGGGTGTGTTTAAACGAGGAGTTTTAGGAGGGCGTGGACGAGTCTGAACTTTTATAAAGAATATCTCTTTGGGTTTGAGACTTTAGTCTTTGCAACTTTAGGGATCTTATCTATTCACGAACAGCTTGTAACACTCCAAAGATTAAGGAAAACTTGAAATCGCATCATATGACCCCTTTAAACTAACAAGCAGTCTGCAGTTCAGAAACCAACCTGACTGATAACAAATGGTTTACCAATGTTAAACAATGCTGATGAGATTCATTTATCTGGCACACATCTCATACCTCTTCAGGGACCTGTAAGATTCAGAAATAAAGTTTAGAAACATAACCAATTGATAAATATGCATAGTTTAGTTTTTCTTAGTAATTTTCTATAATAACATAGGGAACACTGGGGCTGGTTGTCACATCTAAAAGCCATATAGTTAGTGAGATAAAGAATTTGTGACAACTTGCTCCAGTCTCCTCTATAATACATAAAAATAATTTATTCTAGGTATGTAAAAAGCATCTAAAAGCTGATTGATTCTGATGAACAGATATATATATTCAACCCTATTAAATTACTTATCAAAATAGTTTTCTACCTCATAAACGGCAAATCCAATCGTTTCCATGTCTTTGCCCTCCCGGCGTAACTTCCTGCGATTCTTCTGCATCAGGGCCACCAGAAAAGTGCAGTCTTCTTGACTCTCAGTATCTGGTTCCTTCAAGACTATTTTAAACTGGGGATTGATCCAAAATGTTGCTGTGTAGAGAGAAACATATTTTAATGTGATAGTCTCTCGTGGTCAGCTCACAAGCATCTTAAAGACTTTGGTAAGGAATATGCCTGGATAATTCCTGCAGCCGCCAGCAGTGCTTCCTCTTCTCCATTCACCAGGATACAGGGATGTGTTCCACTTCTTCACTTCGCTGCTCTGTAGCGCATCCGGCGTCAGGTTACAGATCTCTAGTCTGCTGAACTCTCGTATGAAGTCACTGAATGACATCCTGTGGGCGAATGATGCTCATATTTAAAGCCTGAAGGAATAGTTCAGAAGGTATTTTGCTAAATGTTTCTGTGCTTGCAATGGACAATGGATCCCACGGAGTTTCATTATATGGATAAAAACAGCTGAAACCTTCTTCAAAATAGCTTCTTTTGTGTTCCACAAAATAAAGTCATACAGGGTGAGTATATGATGACACAACTTTCATGCCATGGATGTCCTTGTTGAGCTTAAGTTGTATTTATTTTAGTGCTGGGCAACGATTAATCGTGAAATCGTAAATTTGTGTACATAATGTGTGTGTGTGTACTGTGTATATTTATTATGTTTATATAAATACACACACATGCATGTATATATTTAAGAAAAATATGTTATGTTTATATATTAAGTATATTTATATATAATATAAATTATATGAGTATAAATATATACATACAGTATAAATATTTTCAAAATATATACTGTATGTGTGCGTCTATATATACACATAATAAATATACACAGTACACATGCATATATTACATAAACAAAAACATTTATTTTGGATGTGATTAATTCACAATGAATCATTACCCAGCACTTATTTATTTATTTATTAAAGTGCCCCTATTATGGATTTGTGTGTAACACAGCTCTAAGTGAATGAAAACATCAAATCTGAAAGTGCACCTTAAATAAAGTTATTGTCTCTCAAAAGAAAGCTTTTAAAATTAATCCCAAGCCATTTCATGTTGACATCAACATGAAACATTAGCATATTGCCCGCCCACTCGTTGGTCTTTTCAGTTGGTCTGAATGAAAATGCCAATTCATTCTTTGCCACTAGGTGCCGCTTTTGGAGCAGTAAAATAGCGGTTTCCCCGGTAACGGCTGTAAACAAAGCAGCACTGCGTTCACAAACGCTGCTTTATCAGGCATTACAGGCATGATGAAATAAAAATTAGACCAATCACCGCAGTTAAGCGTCACACAAAGGTGGGGTTTGGAAAAATGAATCGTTGAGCGAATCGTTTGGCAGTTGTTGAGCAAGTAAGATAAAACATAAATGCATAAGACAATGAAAGTATTTTTTGACCTTGCATGTATGTCAACCTGTTGTTGGGGACTCCCAAAACCAAAATATGAACCTTTCATAACCCATAATAGGGGCACTTCAAGCATTTATTTATTCCTACTTAATTCGTCACCTATTTAACTAGTTCAAAAGTAATATGCGAATAAGAAACAAATTACACTGATATATAGAGAATAGGCCTAATGCAAGAAGCATGTTACCAGAATTCTCCATCTTCTTGGCAGTTGTGCAGACGGAACCTTACAGATGGGTCAATTTCACGCCATTCCCTTGACCTGAATCGACAGACGATGATAGCATTCAACAAAGCTATTTGATATTATTCATTATTATTTTACTTCATCACTTATTCTCACTCATCACTCCAGGTTCCCGTCCACTCCACCTCTCCCCAAGGGTTTCTGATGCGCAACAGCTTTGTGAGCTTTCCTCTGTACTTCACCTGGCCAACAGAGGTACAATAAGTCAAGTCGAGCTTTATTGTTTATTAATGTAAACAATAATAAAAACAACAATGTGAGCTGTCTGTAATTGTCAATCAAAATGCAGCACTCACCTCTTCCACTCCAGTAATGGAGTATGCGTGGCCTTTCACCAGTTTTTTAAAGGTTATCGCCTCCATGTCAAAGAAACTTGTAATCTAAAAGTGAATATAAAATAATCTTTAGTACTTCTGAATATATTAGTAACCCAAATATGAGAATATATATATAAATTTGGTTAGCATGGCCTCTGCTGGTAGATATTGAAATTACACCATTTAAACCAAAAAGCTTTATATTATTAAGTATTAAAAAGTATTATATTATATTATATTATCCCATGACCCTACATCGAACAAGTGATTTGGAAGATGGGTAGATGAATATTCTATTCTATTCCATCCCATGGCCCTACATCAGATATTAAAAATCTAATATTAAACAAGTAAAATCAAATTCCTGAATAACACCTATAAACACACAATTTTAATTACCTTTTAATTTAGATTTCTACATATGCCTTAAAATGGTTAGAAGTATTAATATTTTACAATTTGTGTATACATTCCATTAAAAATACTATATTAAACAAATTAAATTATAAATTAAAATACTTCATAAAAATATTTCTAACCATTTTAATATATATAATATTAAATAGATTCAATCAAATTATTTATAACCATTTTGAATATACATTAATACGCCATATATTAATACATATGTTTATATTGTATAAAAACATTTATGTTACTACGTTTATATTAAAAAAATGAAAATGTTTCTAACAAGTGGTTTGGAAGATAGATGGATATTATATTATATTATAACATTTATTGTAGGGGTTTAAAAAGTTTGAAATGGACTAAGATTTTCCCCTGACTTTCCCAGCTTTCTCCAGATATAAGAACTTTTAGACTTGATAGATTACATTGTCCCTGAGCACTAACATCTATGGAGCAGCCCATCAGGGAGCCTCTCTCCACAGCTCTTCTGATGATGCTGAAGAGGTTGGGTGGAGCTTTTTTCAGCTCATACATCTCGGTCACTCCACCTGTGAAGTCCTCAAACCCCTCAGACGTGCAGCCTCCAGATAGAGCCTCATAGCAGCCGTTCAACCTGCCACATTCATAACAGCAAACTCATTACACAAGCTTCAGACTCATCCTGGTCTGAAGACTATCTTTGAAAGCCCTCTTACTTTGCATATGCCTTCTCCACCAGGGCGCTCCAGAACTCCGCTCCCTCAGCTGAGTGGACGAAAAGCAGTTTCCCATCTCTGACAGGCAGCCGGTCGTCAATCACCACATCCACCCAGTCCCCGAACTGCCAAAACTAGAAAATCCAATAGGAAACATATTTTCTGCACTCACATCATATCACAATTATTATTATTAAAAAGATGACAACTCTGAAGATTCGACATCCTCTTACTCTGAAATGTTTGTTTCTGTGGAAATGTTAATGCCTAAATGCATGCATGTTTAATATTGTTGACAGTTAGAGATTTTGCAGTTTTTCAACTTATAATTACGAGTTTGACATGAATGGTTTTTACTAGTCAGGAACGCATAAATACGGTAATACCGAGATGGCATCCATTAACCTCCAGTGCACACAGTGGAGGGATGGTTGTATTATATTTTTGGCATCCACTGTAAATATTCATAAAATTATGTCGAATTGAATGTCCTAGATCTTCACTATCAGGCCTCAATCATCCAGTCATTTTTTCTTCCCCCTAATATTTTTAATATTACAGTTTTTGCAACAAATGTTTTATATACTGTATAGTTTGGGGTCAATAAAAGTTTTTAGAGATTAACACTTTTATTCAGCAAGGACACATTAAATCAATCAAAAGACATGTATAATGTTACAAAAGGATTCTGTTTCAAAAACTGTTCTTTTGAACTTTCTATTCATCAAAGAATCCTGAAAAAAATGTATCATGGTTTCCACAAAAATATTAAGCAGCACACAACAGTTTTCAACAATGATAATAAGAAATGTTTCTTGAGCACCAAATCAGCATTTTAGAATGATTTCTGAAGGATCATGTGACACTGAAGACAGAATTTAGCTTTGTCATCACAGGAATAAATTACATTTTAAAATGTAAATTAAATTGTAATAATATTTCATAATATTAATGTTTTATTGTATTTTTGATCAAATAAATGCACATTTGCTTGGTAGGCATAAGAGACTTCTTTCAAAAACATTAAAAAATCTTACCATTCCCAAACCTTTGAACACTAGTGTATATTATTAAACATTTGGTTTTCTTAACAAAAAAGATAACAACATATATATTTGATATATTTTAAGTATGCAATAACAATTTGTGCATTTCTCTTCCTATGTAAACATTAGTATGCTAGGTGCTGCTGGCTGTACTCCAAGTCTCTCTGCAGCACTAATGCTCTGAACATTATAAGCATTCACTGAGTGACTGAGCCTAAATGGCTCCTGGCTGGAGAACAGAAGAGGAATTTGGCAGAGGTGAGGTAAATGTGGCCATTTCATTTTCTGGGTGAGGCCTGTATATATAGTCATTGCAGCAGACAGGGTGGGCTGACGTTTAGGGACTGTTGCTTAATGTAGATCTGCTGAGCTATGGAGAATCAAATGGAAGTGGAACAGATCGGTTTACATGCTGCATTGAAGGGAAGGACATGTCTGGGATTTTTCACAAAACCAGGGTTTGGGCAATGTGGCAGAAAATTAACTAATAGGTTCTACATTTATTTACTTAAATACTTATAAAATATCTATTTTCTTGTGTGGCTGAGGGAATAGATTACCTTTATCTACACAATGTCTTTCTTTTAGAAGTAACTGTCCATATAATTAAAGGTGCAGTAATGGGGCTAATTTTAATTCTAATTCTTATTTTACACATTTCTACATAAATACACAATACATAAATGTTTTCATATACATTTATATATTATCTATACAATTTATATATATCATTTTAATTAGAAAAACAAATCTGCATGTATAGTGTACAGTACCTGGAAGTGAAAGACTCCTGCATATTGCTGATGGAAGCTCTGGCCATGAGGCACCACCCGATGCAGCAAGGGTTCATTGAGGGTAAGGCACGCAATGGCTGCCAGCAGCCAACAATCACCTACAATCAGTATATTAAACATTAATGCATTATTAATATTAAACACAACAATTTGCACTACCTAACTAAATTGAATCAATACTGAACTGAATTGAGCTGAACAATGACAATATAATCATCTATAGCTGAACTTAGTTTGAATGATAAATAATGAACTTTGCAATATTCACACTGTTATTGAACTAAACTGAATCAACACTGAACAAAACCAAACGGAATGATAACACAACTGTCTTTTCGGAACAGATTTGTGGCGGGAAAACATCCATGCCATGTTTTTGAGTTCTTTATTAGTATTCTTCAGTTTTAGTAAATTCTTGTTTTACCTAGCGCTCCTTGGCAGATGTCTGTGCGTGTGGCCCCATCTACAATAAAGTGTGGGTCAGTGCAGAACTCCTGGGGTACACAGAGAAGACCTATGGGTCAGACAGGGTATAGAAATGACTGGGACATCACTGCTTCATTGATTGATAGATAAATAGATGTTGATCAACCAGCAGTACCTATTTACTATGTTATATTATTTTGCATATAGAATACTAAAAGAATAGTTTGGAATGACATGGGGATGAGTAAATGATGACAGAATTTTCATCATTTCATCTGATAATACAAATGTAAATATGTGAGCAAAGACTTTGCAAATGTATGTATGCTAGTTTATTTTACATTCATACATGTAAGGTTTTTGCTCTTACTAGGTTTGAAATATTGGCCCAAACTACACACTCTCAGTTTATTCTAATGTTCTCACCGTGGGCCTCATCCAGCGAACACCTTTGGTTTTTGCAGAGCCAGGGCCCAACTCCTTGAATCCTAAAGAAGTCTGCTGGGCTGGGAATGTTTCATCCTCAAACAGACATCTACTCTGAAGGCAGCGGGCACGCAAGGTTTCAAAATCTTGGCCCAAGAACTTAAGGGCCATATTGTTCTGACCCAATCCCTCATTTCGATCCCATTCGCTCCTCAAACGAGCAGCGACCCCCGTGGCACAAATTGGCTCCATCCAGGACAGAACTGTCAGAGACACCACCAAAAATATGGATCACTGCTGCATCAACACACATTAGGTCAAAGTCATTTTCCATATTTTACAAAAAATAAAAATAAATAAATAATTTCAGTCACATATTATTATTATTCATGTATTTATTTATTATGATCATTTCTACCCACAAAATTAACTATTTACAAGCAGATTTAATGTAATATCCTTTCTCTCAATATGTTTATATGGTTAGTGGTTAAATATAACACACATACAGGCAGCTACTGTTGTTGCCAACCACTCATGAAGAGAGTGAAAACATTTGACAACATCAAGATACAAACTTTGCAATCTAGGGTTTTAAGTGTAAACGTATTATACATTACCTTAAAATGGCACTCTCCAAATCCAGAAACGAGTATTCTTGAAATAAGGTATTGTTCAATGAACTAACATATCATGTTAGGCTTTGTCCCAGCGTGTGAGGGACTGCAGTGAGCTTGTGTGTGTGTGTGTGTGTGTGATGCTCCCAAATGTTACTATTTACAATGAGACGAGCGGTTATATTCCTCTAGAGGGCGCAAGGAGGCTTAAAAAGCAGAATCCTGCATCGAAATGCATTGATATTTCATACAAGAGACATTTTTACATTAATATGTTTATATTATAGTTTAGTCTACAAATTCCAAGCACTGATACATGACATACTGAGATAAATCGCCCTAAGTAACCTCAATAAAAAAATGTTTCTCGACGCTGAATAACCAGACGACTGTGATTGGTCCATCTTGACAAGCGCAGAGAAAAGTAACAGATTACATGTGACAACGTCCTTACTCTGCAGCGGTCTATACGTTTTTTAAATATCCATTAATTTGGAAAATACATTGTGAAGAATTTAAATAGTTATATTATTAACATAACAACCATTATTTAAATCCCACCTTACCTGACCAGCCAGAGACAAGTTTGAGCCACGCCCAATTTCATTGCAGATTTAGTGATTGCGGAAAAGGTATAGAAATCATTACTTAGTAAGTTTGTTCTCAATTGGCGAGCCACATGTGTATATATAATGATGTTTTTAAAAAATGTAGTTAAATGAGGAGTTATTACCAGACAGGCGCATATAGGCAATTTTTCTTAAAGGTCCTAGGCAACAGGATTGCGACAGGCAAGGTAGATTTATGAATTCTACATTTTCATGTTTCTTAATAATTTAATGTCACACCAATCGAAAATATAAAAACAGTGCTTGACTATGAATCGGGCATTATAAAATGCCTTCCACTTTGGAATTTGATCAAATAAAAGGTTGCTTTATGACCAAAAGGGGGCAGCAAAGAGCTGCAATAATGTGACTGTCACCTGATTGTGGTTTTAAATGACCCATATTTAAAACCTATAGGGACATAAATGCACACACACACACACACACAGAGATAGAGGGGGAGAGAGAAAGAGAGAAAATTAGAAGCATCTTGTCCTTTGATGGAGAGCTTGATTATCTGCAGTCTTCAGAGCTATGTTATTTTGTGCGTAAAAGGCAACAACATTCTACATGTGTTTGATTCTGGTGTCTGATTACTGTGTATATGAAAGATCACATCAGAACAGACTAAAACAAACATTCATTTTGCTCATCGTGCATCCAAAATTAAGGTAGGCTAGTTGAAGTGGGAATGTGTAGGAAGTGTGTTGCACTAAAAGCACAGCCCTTAAAATTTCCAGGACAGTCTCAAAAAAGTGAGCAGACATTATAACCTTTAGGGAATACATGTATTCAGTTTCAGCTTTATCCAAGAGGATTGAAATGCAGGAAGTGTAAGGAACTCTGGGCTCTTTTTGATTAATCCTTGGCAGTCTGCATGTTTCAGGACTTGATGTCATGAAACTTCACTTCTCCCTGGCTTCAATCTGTCAGGGGGAGATAAACTACAAACGGTGCCAGCGTGGGTGGTTGCAGTGTTTTAGGAGCTGCCACTACCATAATAGATTCAAGTGGGTTGTGTTAAAAAATACATAGAAAGAGAGCAACAGAGGGAGATAAAGATAAACTTATGACTTAATATGTTCTGTCATTTCAAACAGTTTTAGTTATAAATCAGCAGACCAGCCTAACCAGGTCAGGGGATCATCTAAGAGCAGCAAACCCAGACTGGTTTATATGGTAGTCTCAGCGGTAATCTGAAAATCAGCTATTTTTCATACACTAATAATGCACATGGAGAAGAAGGAGTTGACTAAAATTGTGCTAATATGACAACCGCAGGTGCTACTGACCATTGTTAATCCCCCAAAAAATAAATCCTAAATAAATATGATTCCACAGATATTCATATCTACATAATGCAGGTGACAATTGCAGCAGCTGCTACTCCATCAATTTGCTAACAAAGTGTTAAACTAGTACAATCCCATTATAATCAATAGCCTTCTGTCTACAATAGTGGCTCTAAACCTAACCAGGATCTGGGGCCCACTAGGGGATGCAAAATGTCAAAATTCTAATAATTCGAAATTATTTTACATACACAATTAAATTAAATATGAAATCTGTGACAACATAAATTAAATCTAACGTGCTCGTAATTCTTTAGCTGCAGCTACAACCTTGGCAAATCGAATGTTTTAATTCGTTGTATAATATAATATTGTATAAAATATGTTTAAATAAATAAAAATACTGACTTTATTATTAGGGGACCTTACTAGTGCTCTACACTACAACCAGAAGCGACGCGTTCAGTCTCGTTGCATTGCGTCTCTCGTACGTGCGTCTTTAACGAGAGGCGTTGCTTTACTATATGTTTTTAAAGAAGAGATTTCCGCTTCCTGCTGTTGTTTTAAACGCTCAATTGATCACAAGCTGATCACAAGCCAGGAGCTGGACTGATAGCAGCAGCAACTGAGGGAAGTCTCCTGTGAATCCACCGCCGAGCGGAGGCGGGAACGTTAAGAGGCTCGTGCCATCATCAGAACAGACTGCATGCGCGAGTGAGTGTCTAAACTGACCGAGACCGGTCCGACAGCGCATATCCCGAGACAAGCTCAGCATGTCGGAGCGAGGAGGGCTTCAGCAGCGAGCGGGAGCTCCGTCTCCCCACTTGCAGCCTCTCAGGACGGTCACGATTTCTTCGAGTCGCCCGGTTCAGATGAACCTGTTCGCGACATGGGAGATTGACAGCTCCTCTCCCAGCTGTGTGCCCAGGTAATCCCCTTCTTGACTTACTAGTAGACATGCGCTTTTTTTGCACAGCCGCCAATAGGGCTACTTTCAAGCTTTACACACCCAGATACTGTGCCAAGCCATGTGAACATTTTGTAGATGTTTTTGTTACTTGTACTTGACTTGTTTTACGAAATTACGATGAAGAAATTCAGTAGTGACTACTGTTGACACCATCTTTGTCAAATTCATGTGTAACTGTTCATTAGCCTACTAGTATTTAGTTAATTAAGCTATATATAATTAGTCACTACTAGTACTCATTACTTTTCTCCTCCACTAATATAGTGTGTATTTATATTTGTATTAAGTTTGCAGTTTAGTTTTAGTAACTTAATTCTTATGTTAGCTAGTTAGTACTTAAGTTGGATCATATGCAAATATCATATATACAGGGTGTCGGCGGGTCCTTAAAATGTCTTAAATTCGGATTCGATGGGTCTTAATTATTTTTGGTCTCATTACCGCTGAAATATCTTCAGTCTGACGGACCTGGTGACTTTACAATCATTGGACAGACCCGCGGCAAGTTACTGCGTCGTCAGAGAGAACTGCAGAATACAGAATACAAGCTCGCGCTGAGGCTCACTCTGTTTGTCTCGAGACTTCAGAACAAATGAGCGTGACCGCACACACAAACTCCGAAGAAACACACTGAGGTAAAAAAATCACAATGTTTAGTTTATTCATAACATGATATAGTTAAATAACACCATGACAAGTGAGCTATTTTGCTCAATATTCTCACGACGCAAAAAAAAAAAAAAAAAAACTAATTTACAGAGTGCACACATTACGTGAAGCCTAGTGCGCGTGCGCATTTACAGTGCGCTCTTTTATGGCATGATTCGGTCTATTAAAATACATTCAGAATGATCACAAATTCAAGACATGGGGCAGAAAATTTGTATATTTATACCTCTTCATATAGTTCATCAAGTTCACACGGAAGAGTGCCTTTTTTTTCTCCAAAAATTACCATGTACAAATGTGACTTTTTTTTACCACAGTTCAATAAACTAGAAGTTTTATTAAGAGACTCACGTTTTAGACACCATATTGCCTGTTTTTGCACTATTTCGCCAATAAAAACAATTCCAAACAAAGCCACAGCGCTGTTTTGCGTCTCTGTGCAACATGACGGCGTTTCGTTCCTGAATGAATCGACTGTTTAAATGATTCGGTTCAATCGCAATGACTCACTTCTTAACAGTGACTTGCTGCCACCTACTGGCGCTTTTAATTTCACATTTAAAGTATCTTTTCATTTTTTTAATTATTTCAAATATCAGTATTCAATGTTTAATATATCAAAACATTATTTATGCATTTGTAACTGCAGGTTAAATGCATTCATGTCCCGCATTAATCGGTGAGTAAATACATCTAAATGCCACTTCAGATGCAGCTTGTGTCTGGATTCCAAAGATTAATTTTGTTGATACTGATTTCATTTGCTTGGTAACAGCCCAAATGTCTTATTATTCTAATTCATTGATTAAATGTAAGAATTTGACTCAAAAGATAATGCACACTTATAGAAAAATGGCTTTATAAAGGTAAAATGCCATACATGCATACATTCTCTCTCTCTCTCTTGGCACAAAGCTGATTATTTACTTTTTTTTTTTTAACTTTTTTTTGCTTTATGTTCTTCCTTCTAGTAAATGGAGCAGTTCACTAAAAACACATTCTATGTGGAATGGACCTATCATTAAATCTGAAGAGTGAAAATGTCATCCTAGCTTGTTGCTGCAGTGAAAACTAGAGCAGAAAGACACTTTAATTTTAAAGGGGTCCTATTATGCTTTTTCACTTTTTAAATTTTAGTCCGTGTGTAGTGTGTACGTTTGGGCAGTGTTTCCCCTAGGTTTACGGTTTTGGGGGGGTAGAATCTGTTTTTTTTTTTTTTTTCTGGACTCCTTTTTAATGGTTAAATTACATTTTATTAATCAAAAAACATGTCTAATTAATTAAAATCATGAAACTTAAACAATTTAACAAATATTACGTTTAGGGCCCTATGAAATGTTTTATTTGTCCAACCTTATGTTTTATTGTAACCAAATTCTGTTTTAGCATGTCTAATTTGAAAGCATAAAACAAGTTTCATTTATTCTTACAATAGCCTTGTGATTTTTTTGCAGAAAAAATTCTCAGAAATTCTTTTTGCAGAAAAAAATCTGAAATTCTGTGTTGTGTATTTACATTTTGTTTTAAGGCATAAAACATTAATTTAATCTATCTTTTAAGTAATGAAAATTAAACAAATTAAATTTTTTGGAACATAAAGGTAATTTAATATTACAATTAAAACATTGAAGAAATATTGAATGCTTATTCCTTAAAAATAAGGTTTTAATAATTTTAGCAGTAGCAGTCTGTTACGTACATTCTACTCAACAATAGTAATATATTTCTGCCAATACCCTCAAGTTAAACCGAACTTTTATTTTGACGGGTTGCCGTGAATACCATTACATTTCTGTGTGTGTATGACATGATGATAGTTTTACTGAAATGAAACGGTCAAATGCT